GAAGGGTCCAGACCCGAAACGTCAGCTTTCCTGCTCCTCTGATGCTGCTTGGCCTGCTGTGTTCATCCAGCTCTACACCTTGTTATCTCAGATTCTCCGTCATCAGCAGTTCCTACTATCCCTATCTGACTGTGCCCTGAAAGGTGACTACAAAAAGGCCAGAATGCCTGCCTCTTGCAGGCAACAGGCTCTTGTAATATGGAATTTTTACTTGGCAAAATTGTTTAGTTAGGAATTACTTCTGTAGGGCTAAAAGGAGTGGGAGACTTCCCCACGTCAACCCTGTGGTTGATGAAGGACCACTTTTGGGCTACTTGATAGACACTGGCCCAGATCCAGCAGGCAGCAGCAGAAGCAGGTCACTTGGTGCCTGTTGCCTGACACTGCACAGCACTGAAGCCTGCTCTTCAAAATGGACCAAGCAAAAACAACTGGGTAGTCTGCTAGCAGTGCACTTGCCAATCATCTCTCTGATAGTTAACATTCAGCTTAAGGTCACGAAATGTCAAAAGAAATAAGGCATTCTGTGAAGATGCACCTTTTATCTATAAAGCAAGAGGTCTGTGAAATAATTTGGGTGTTCAAGAGATCCAAACCAGCACAAGTACAAAGCCGCAGATGTAGCTATGGCGAGACAACTTTAGCCAGCAGTTCTAGTTTTGAAGTAAATTCTGACAGGAGCAAAAATGGTTAGAATTTTACGTAAGTGAGTCCCATTCCAGTTTCATCTCCAAGTAGGATTTATTCATCCTCAAATCTGAAGAATTTCAGGACTAATGTTTAATGACTTGGGGTGGAATTGGTATTTCGTAAAAACACATAATAACAAACTGGCAACTTGCTCTTCCAACCTGGATTTCAATGGAAAAGAAAACTAGGTGCAGTGTAACAAAGAGTGCCAATTTGTCAGGGCCCATTTTGCATTTTTGAGAGAGACCAGTTTTAACTACATACCCCTGTTGAATGAACCTGGTGGTGAATTTTGAATATGAAGATGAAGTTTGTAACAAGATGGTCAAATACATATAATAACTTATACTTTCATGACTATGTTAATTTTATTTCTCATTCAGGTCAGTTTTATATGGTGATCACTTTTTCGTTTGCAAGGCAAGAAACTACAACTATCCATACACGTCTGCCTGGGTTAGGCATGAAATATGTACTAGACTGTGGACATGTTCATACGTCCTGTGTGATGTTAATCCTTGTTTCCATTTCAAAATAATCAAGGGAAATTTGTAGCAATGCAGCAAGTGCTCTTCCTTTATTGTGCTCTCCTGCTTCTCCCTCAGAAGCTTGAACCAACAGAGCTGGTTATGCTCTTTGCAGTGCAATCAAAATGGCTCCTTCATCTCAATTTCCCACTGTATGCCACATTAGGATTCCTAACCTTTGCGCATCAATCAGTTGCACATCATTAAGTGTCATTTACTCCATTCATTCTTTCCGTGAATCCCCCTTGGATTGTGACAGGATTGTGAAATGCTCCGACATTACTATTTTCAGGGTACTTGACTGATTGTGCCTCCACTCCATCTCAGAGGTTTCTTCTGTTCAAGTCAAAAAGCTTAATGATCTCAAGTCGCTTGAACAGTCATTTTCTGCTGAATGAGAAAATAAGTAAAATTGATGTTGATGTGGTCAGTATTCAAACCATCTCTCTGTTGAACACTCTCTATATAAAGAAAAGTCTTACCTGCTGGGGCCCCTACAGTGCCGGCTATTTTGATTCTGGTTTTTTCTAATTGTATGTCTCCTAAACAAAATGTTAGTGATTGTGCAAAGATCAAAAGTTATTTTAAGCTGGTCCTGCTTGTGTGCATTCGCAAGAATAAGTCTGCAAACACTGGGTGGACAAACTGTTTGCCTTCATTCCCTCTGACCCCTGAAGATGGCTATTAACTTTCCAATGTCTGTGTTAATAGCATGAAAACTACAAAGTGGGCTCAAATCCAGGAAGTAAGGAGAGGGAAGCATTGGACTATAGTTACCATTTCAGTATAAAAAGGTTGTGCCTCGGTCTGATACAAAGCAATTTTGTGACAAGCTATGGTTACAGGGAGTGTGTTGATTATTTGAACAATAACTCAGATTATTGAGCATCTGTATCCTGTTCTTCTGCAAATCTGAACGCTTGGTATTTCTCTGATTTTCAGTGTATAATAAATTTAATACTGTAACTTCTTTCAGATAGACAAAACAGAGGACAAATCACTGGAAGAGCGTGGTCGGATTCTCATCTCTTTAAAGTACAGCTCACAGAAAACTGGGCTTGTCGTTGGAATTGCAAGATGTGCACATTTAGCAGCGATGGATGCAAACGGCTACTCAGATCCTTACGTAAAAATGTGAGTAACAGACGAGACGACATGTTGGGAATTTCTGACGTTGGAAAAGTTCATTCAAGAAATTGTAGCTCAATCGACAAAAAAGCTTGTGTGTACGTACTGTTGTACTGGTCACAGCTTGTTGTAAAAGACTGTACAAGTTTGTTGATAATACTCTGGTATTATTAGACCAGCTTAGAATCATGCTTGCTTCTTCAGAAAAGTTGCTGCTGTGCAGTTTCAGAACATGTTTAAATCTGAAGAATGAAACACTCAGAATAGTGCATAATCAACAGTATATTACTGACATTTCTCCAGATGCATGAAGAGCCATTGTAACCACTTACAACTAACATACTTGAGGAGTAACTTCAATCATGCACTGTGGAACAGTCTGATGGGATGAGGTTGTTGGTTTGCTCGCCGAGCTGGCTGGTTATCGTACAGATGTTTCATCACCATGCTAGGTAATGTCGTCAGTGCGAGCTCCGAAGAAGGAATGTTGTTCTACTCCATTTGGAATTTATATGATCTGGTCTGTTAAGTTGGGTTGTGTCATTTCCGGTTCTGCATGGGATTGTATATGGGGTCTAACTCCACATGTTTATTGATTGCATTATGGGTTGAAAACTAGGCCTCTAGGAATTCCTGTGCATGTCTGTGGTTGGCTTAAGCTAGGATGGTCACATTGTCCTAGTTAAATTGATGGCCTTCATTGTTTGGGTGCACTGAGATGAGGGAAAGTTCGTTGTGTCATTTTGCTGTTAGATGGTTTTCGTGTATCCTGATGGCTAGTTTCCTTCTAGTCTGGCCGATGTAATGTTTACATGCAGAGGTGGGGGTTTTGAAATAAAATAAAGTAACATGGTTTAAATTAGTTCAGTAGTTTTTCAGCATGTTTATCGTAGTGTTCAGCCTTCAGGTCTTCAGATCCCTTCTCTTTTTGTCCCAACAATTGTTTATCAACTGGACAGCTAGTTTAGTTAAGCCTTCGTAAATATTGAGCTCCAAATATATTGAAGGACTTCTAAAAAGTCATAACTGAGACTATAAAACTCAATTTTCCTGCATGTTTAGTTTGTTCACAACAAAGTATATTACTCCTTTTCTATACATGTGATGTATATCTTTGTACATATTGTTTGTAGTTCCTTGATTTGATGGAGGTGAGCAATCAGGTTTCAGTAATAGCTGATTTTGAGTTGTAGGAAGGTGAATTACTCTGGACACAAAGTGGACGAGTATTAAAGTGTAAGAAATAATTCTGCATGTAGTATCTCACTATTCATCTTGCTGATAGCTGTCCACAAAGCTTTAAATGCCTTTAGAACATAAACACCGTTGCAACATGCAGCCCTTTGTGAGAAATTTGTGGTGTCTATGAGTCCAGCAAGAAATAGTAAAGTTTTTAAATCTGTCAGATTGAAGATTTCTTATTGAGATGTGTAGAGTCTAAACCAGAAGCTTCAAAGCAGTCAATAAAAATTACATTTAAATAATGTTTGGATAGTAAACTGAAAGATAGGAAAAATAGATGTGATTAAGGGCAATAGATATAAAGGGCAACAGAGCAAAATAAAAATAAAATTATTATTTAAAATTAGCAATGCAAAATTTCTTCTAAGTGAATGACTCTCCACTAGGGTGAAAACATTTTTTTCAAGGCCGCAAAGACCACTCAGCAGTAGTCACTTAGCACGGTTAAATATTCACTTCTGAAAGCACCAGCACTGACTTTTTTCAGAGGAGCTAGTGGACGAGCATGAAAGTCCATGTGTCATAATCACTCCAGTACCTGGTCTATCAGTGAGAGCCGTCAGAATCACATTCTGTGGAAGAGTGGGGTACTGCTGAGAGTCTTTGAGTGTCCACATATACCTGTGTACATTCATGCAGATTCTAAAAATTTCTTCCAGATTTATCCCATAACATAGCGTCGACAGACTTACCATTGCTGTTAGCAGAAAATCTGGGCAAATACATTGAGCCCTGCAGTCTCTAGCCTGAGTCTCAGTATTTATTGTCACTTGTTCAGTACTTTAACTGGTGTTTTCACCAATGTCCCCTTCCCTCCATACATCTGTCTCTTTGGCCCTAATATTCCCAATCCCTTCACTTTGTCTTGTCTAATAGCAACCTACTTTTGCAGTCTCTTTATCTCTTCTTCAATATGCAGCATCACCCATCATGGTAGGGATTGCACCTTAGAATAATTTACTTGTCAAAAATTTGAGTTTGGCATCCTTGCCTAAAACAATAAATTCTCATGGTGGTAGTACATTAGTACAAATGTTTTGACAATACAATTCTAGACTTGACCATCAAGAAAACTGCAGCCACCCCAGCTTGGAAATGAGTATCATTACCTCGCATTTGACCTTTGGTTTTACAGTTTGAATGTAAAATTGATCTAATGTTGAAGTTATGATTGCACTGTGCCAACTCCACTGTCAGAGCTAATTATCAGTCACAGAGCAAATTCATTAACTGTGGCAGTTGAATCGACAAAAGAGAACTGCAATAATTCCATTGAGCAAGATCATTCATTTGAATAAAATATTCGCTTCGCAGCTTGTAGCCAGCAGAGATGGTTGACACATTGTAAAGCCTTAGAAATAATCTGTCTAAAAAACATTATTTATAACTGACCCCAACAATAAAATTCCTGCAATGAAATAAAAACAGAAAACACAAGGTGCTGTTGCTCATATGGAACCTTGCGCGATTTCAGTAAGGTTTGGAGATAAGACTACGACATGATTCTGTGCCCCATGCCTACATTGAGCAAAGTTCTAAATTGGTAGTTCAGTCGCATAATTTCTATGCTGTAGAGTGTACAAACAGCCTCTCAGTGAATGCTGGGTACCACAGTAATTGACCAGAGGATGCAGATGAGGTTATAAACAGTGAAATCTCATCCAAAACTATTCCAGTTGATTAGACCTGTAGCATTTCAAATGCAGATGTGGAATGCAGTGCTAATTCAAATTGAGGGCCCCGCAGCTCAATATTTTACTTTGAAGCTTCAATGTTACTATTTATTTTTGTCTCTAAATTCAAGTGCTAGACTCATTCAAGGTTTTTCCTTGGATTCTAAATACCAGCTTAATGTAAATAAATGAAAGGAGAGCAGGCATGCTCATACCGATGATTCTTCCGGCAGGCCACTCATAGGTATATTTAAATTAATGGAGAATTATTAAATATTATTATAATGTAAACAATGCTAATGCATTTTTCCTGAAAAATAGATGATCTTTCGTGTTACAATAAGAGCAGAAATCTATCCGTGCTTCGTGTGCTTTTGACATTGTGATGTAAACACTCAATATGTGGCAGGCTGTGTCCAATAGGAATTTCAGCCAATATTCCAACAATACTATATGCTCCTGTGTAATTTAAAGATAAAGAGAATGTGGGGGTGGAAATTAGAAAGGGAGGCTGAGATGGTGTGGATGGTTCCAACTAATACCCATGGAGGAAAGGTTATCAGCCAGCCACTGGGACAGCTAGAAGCATGACTCCACCTCAGCCAGAAAGTGCTAGGTGGGAACAGTGATGCTAACCTAGCTCACCCACTCCTCACTGGGATGCTACCTTACCCTCTCCAACAGCCCCTCTAGTGGCAGAGTTGCAGATTGGGCACTACCACATCTACAGCATATGGGCAGCACAGTGGCTCAGTGGTTAACACTGCTTCCTCACAGCACCAGAAACCTGGGTTTGATTCCAGCCTCAGGTGACTGTCTGTCTGGAATTTGCAGGTTCTCCATGTGTCTGTGTTGGTTTCCTCCAGATGTTCCAGTCTTCCTCCCACATTCCAAAGATGTGCAGGTTAGGTGGATTAGCCATGGGAAATGCAGGCTTACAGGGATAGGGTAGGGAGTGGGTTTTAAGTGGGATGCTCTTTGGAGTGTTGGTGTAGTGATGATGAGCCAAATGGCTTGTTTCCACACAGTAGGCATTCTACAATACAGGCATGCCCATGCAGGAGGCCATATGGAGCAGAGAGCCAGGTAACTAATTGAGCTTCTAACAAGCTCCCACTGATCCTTAATTGTTTACTTATGTATGGCCGCTGGGTTGCCTGTTTTGAGGTCTGCTCACCTTTTAAGAGGGTGAACGTGGGGGTAGGTGAAAATATGGTGGGCTGTCAACCCTTTATTAAATGATCCCTGCCCAAAACACTCCCAGCAAGGGGCATGTAATATTCAACCCTTAATATACATCATGCTGTGATGTATTGAACATTTCGGAATTATTCCTTTCTAACTTCTGCGACACTTGTCTAGTTGTAACTACCGCTGAATTTTCTTTTGAAAAGGGACAAGCAAATATTACCTAGCCATCAAGTTTAAATTGCTTGAAAATGACACTTTTGTGTTTATACATGTTTTGCCAACTTTTGTGAAATAAAACAATGATACTTTGACCTGGGACTCAGGTGGGGGGTGTTGGGAAGTGATGTTTGGCAGTGGTGGGTGGGTCCTGGTGACCATAAAAGCAAGGGTAGAGGTAGTGCGCCCATAATGTCTCCTCGAGGCCAATGGCCACAGTTCACTTGCTGCCAAAGAAAGCAAAGAAGCAAGAGGAGACTCCCAGCCTCTGTCTCTCACAGACTGGTCTAGAAATAAAGGACTAAGTGTTTGTCTTAAGGGCACAGAGAGTCAAAATGATCGATGGTCCCATTAAATAAGCATAACTGGACATCCTGATCAGGAGATGGATTTGTATTAATATTTTTTTACACAATGGGTTTCCAGGTTTTACTACCACAACGTGCAAGTAGGTTAGAGTCAAGAAAAGGTCAGAACTTCCCCAGGAAGTGTGCATACCAGAAAATTGGCCAAGGTCCTACTCGTATAAACCAAAGTCCCCTTCATTCATAGCATATTGGTCAATCACTTTACGTAGGTGGAAAGAAGAATGCAAAGTTTATGATAAGGGAAAAAATAGAGAGGTCACTTAAAAGTACAGGAAGAAAAGAAATGTAGGAATTTGTTGTGATTGGAGAGAAACTC